TACCCTATTTTAATTTGCAGACAATCACAGGACTTTGTTAACCTTCTCCCTTATTTTTTCCACAATATTTAGGATCATACAGCATATTTGGTAATTGCTTATTTAATTGCTAAGTTCCCCTCTAGAATGTAAGCTCCGGGAAGGCAGGGGTTTTTGTCCTGATTTGCTCACTATTGTATCCCCAGCACCTGGTGCATAAGTATTGAAAAAATATTTGATGGGTGAATGAAATGACCTGAGAGTGAGGCCTGACTCCCCTTTCAGCCTCCTTCTCTTGCCTGACACAGCATCTCATCAGCAGTGACCTGCGGTCCTCCTGTGGTATCATTTCCACCAGCCTTGCTGCATCGGCCCAGTTTTTTTCTAATGTTTTCAACTATGTTACATGCAGTCAGCTCCTAGGTAACCTTGGTGGTTATTTACCTATTGTTCATGTATTTATTGGTCTTGACTTCTTTGCTAAACTCTGAGGTCCTCAAAAATTGGCGTCATGACTGTCTAGTGCCCGGGTAGGCTCCCCACAGGCACCCTGAGTACCCACCAATCTCCCCCATGGGAGGATGAATATAGCTGAAATTCAAGAAACAGGGGCGCCTGGGTGGCTCAGTCGGTTGAGTGTCTGACTTTGGCTCAGGTCATGATCTCATGGTTTGTGGGTTCGAGCCCCTTGTCGGGCTCTGTGCTGACAGCCTGGATCCTGCATCGGATTCTGTGTCTCCGTCTCTCTCAGCCCCTCCCCTTCTTGTGTATGTGCTCTCTCTCTCCCTGTCTCTCAAAAATAAATAAACATTAAAAAAAAAAAGAGAGAGAGAGAAAGAAACTGAGCTAATAACTACCATTTCCTTCCCTGGCCCCTTTTGAACTAACATTCCTAGCAAGCAATAAAATTTTCCTCTCGGTCCTCCCTAGCCCTAGTAGAGGTGCCCGTATGCAAGGAAACCACACAACTTGTAGAATCTGGAAGAAAAGGACACCAGTAGACAAGCCACCGGCGAAAAGCCCAGAAGTGGCTTGAGCCAGAGCTGGCACCAGGTCCAGGGGAGAAGGCTCGGGCCCCTTCCTCCGTGCAACCCCTCCCGCACTGAGCCCACTTGGGAAGCCTGGCCTGCACCCTTACCTGAGGGCAGCTTTGCTGTCCGGACGTTCAGGAATGTGGCCAGTGGGGAACTTGCTTGAAGATTAATAAAGCTAGGGGACGGTTTGGCTCGACAAAGAGGCACAGCATGACTTTCCTCTTTGGCTGAAACAAAATCAGAGGGAACTAATCAGAGCTATTTCCAACAAGGGATGGCCTTTCTAGCTAGATCCCTGCACTTGGTCTATGAACACAAGTGCCGAGGCCCTGCCCCGAATAGCTCTGGAGAAAGTTAGGTGAGACAAACAAAGAAGAAACCACAGTGGACTAAGGGAAGGCAGGCAGGGATGGGTTCAGCTAAAATCGAGTTTGCTTCCATTTGACAAGTTCTCATGGCCCCGTGCCGCACGCTTACGAGCGTGCTAGGCGACAGGGCATCACGAGATACCTAACACACGGTTTCTCGGGTACTTACTACCTCGTTGGGAGACAACCGGGGCACTGATGAAATGTGACATAACAACCGAAGGACGTAAACAATGCGTCAGACAGTCTGGGTGAAAATGAGGCCTTTCATCTCGTGGCTATACCAAGTGTGTGATTGATGTCGAAATGGATGTTTCTGGAAAAGTGCAAGAGCTCAGTAGGAGCACTGTAGTCAGAGAAGACTCCAGGTAGGTAGAGGATGCTTATTGGACCTTGAACACAGGATGCTTCCGGTGAGTGGAAAAGGTGTTTCGAATGGGAAAAAAGAGGGCAGGAGCGCAGGAGCACACGGTGGGCCACAGAAGACCCTTCACAACAGCGAATCTGAGACTTTAGGCTTTCTCTTGAATGTGACAATGCCATTGAGCCTTTTAGGATTAGAAAATTGTATAAAAACTGTATCTTATTAATGCATAGGTATTAAAATGGGCTGGACGTGAAAGAAGTTTCTGAATGGGAAAATAAATAAATCAGCTTTGGCAAAAACAGTTAAGTTAGAAGGAAAAATTGATTTGTAGGGAGAAGGTAATGGGTCCTACACAGACGTACGTTATCTTTGTCTAGCGAGCAACACTTCCTCCGGGAAACTATTCTTTCCCCAGACCCCAGGCCACACAGGTGGGACCACAGCAGGCCCTGTTCCCCAACGGAAAACGGTGTGACCCAATCCAGGCCAATCACGGTATCTCATCCTCCGTGGCAACTGTGATTGATCCCGGGGGTAAGTGCAATGGGCAAGTTGGGCCAGGCTCATTCTCTGGGGTCGACATATGGATTCTGTAGTCAAAGAAGCTTGCTTTCTTGTGATTTGCTACGCTGGGAAAATGCAAAGCTGGGGCAGATGAGAGCTACCGAATTCGGCTGGCATGCCGTAAGGAGCAGATACAAGCAAGACAGGAGAAAAGAGCACAGGAGGGAGGTGGATGGACGGACACCGCTAGGCACAGAATTCCGCAGTTCGGTCCCTGAGGCTCTGGCTTTTACAGGCCTTCTTCCTATTCTGTGACCATCTCGACACCCCTCCCAACTGCACGAGCCTCTGAATTTCCTTTTTTACTCAAGGGAGTCTGAGTTGGGTCCCATCCGACTAACACAACCCACACTGTGGACACACAGTCCAGACAGAAATGCCTAGAGAAACAGTCGGAGGTGGCACCAAGCTCAGGTGAAAGGTTAAACTGCCAAGCTAGCCACAAAGCGGTGATAAAGAAGCTGCAAAACTAAATTAGCTCTCCAAAGTAAAAGACTGAGAGGGAAAACTGGACGCTGGGGAGCCCCTCCTCGGTAGTTTGGAAGATGAGAAGGAAACCGCAAAGCAGAGAAGCGACAGGCGGAGGCGAGCGGCCGGCCCTCCAAAGGAGCCCAGGATTCACTGACAGACTGAGGTCAAAAAGGACAGAAAAAGTTCACCCACTCGCTCATTTATACTTACGAGACAGCCGAGTGCCTGTGAAGCGTCCACCGCTGACACCACAGCAAGCTAAACACACACGTGCTCGCGACCCTCACGCAATTGACGGTATTGCAGTGTAGACAGTCACTAAGTGATCGAGCACACACCTTATCACATCCCGTAAGTGCTAGAAGATCGCCTAACCTATAACCTCGTCTGTGCAGCTGGGGAACATGTTCCCCAGAAGCGATCCTGTCTCGGCTGGGATCCGAAGGATGAGGGTACGGGGACCTCTTCATGGACAACAGGCCTGGGGGCAGAGGTGTGGCAAGTAGGTCGTATGAAGGAAGATGGATTCTTGTCCTGAACTCTGACTGCGACAGAGCAATGGCCTGCTAAGGGGAAGAGGTAGTCACACGTGTGGGGGCCGGGCCGAGGCTTTCTATTTGGAAGCTCACTGAGCCTATCGAAATTGAAATCTGTTTTATTCCCGATTACTCCTGGCGAGGGAAATCGGGGTTTGTTTTTGTTTTTGATGCTGGGTTTGTGGATTTTCCAAGCCCCACTGAAGGTCCTCCTTCTCCTCCTTTTTTAAGAGAAGTAAAAATATGCAACAATGAATTCGTGTGTCATCTCATGCAGGGGCCATGCTAGTCTCTGTATCATTCCAGCTTTAGCGTATGTGCTGCCTGAAGAGCACGGCTCTCCACTTCCTTTTCCCTTGGTCTCCTCAGCCCTTTGACGGCTCATGCAGAACGGTAAGGAGACAGAAGCTGAAATTCAGGTCTCAAAATTATTCTCACCACAGGGCACCTGGTGGCTCAGTCAGGTTAAACATCTGACTTCGGCTGAGGTCACGAGCTCATGGTTCTGAGTTAGAGCCCCGCGTCGGGCTTGTCAGCACAGTCCTCTCTCTGCCTGCCCCTGTCTTGCCTTCCTCAAAAAAAATGGAGTAAAACATTAAAAAAAAAATAGTTTAGGGTTAAGCATCTGACTCTTGACTTTGGCTCAGGTGTTGATTTCACAGTTCATGGGTTTGAGCCCCACATCGGGCTCTGCATTGACAGTGCAGAGCCTGCTTGGGATTCTCTCTCCTCTCTCTCTCTCAAAATAAATAAATAAAAACTAAAAAAAAAAAAAGTTAAAAAAAAGATTATTCTCACCATTGGAAAAATAGAACTTCAGCTTCCATGCAAATACACTTCCCAATAATTCAGGCCCTTCCTAGGTATATGAGGACAAATTTTCTACCAGGCTGTGAGGTTTGGAGAGTACTTACAACCCATACCACAGGAACCAGATTTCTGACTACCCGGTAACGGAGAATGAGGTTGGGGAGCAGTAAAAGGAAGCAGAACATAGAAAATCATAGTAAAAAGTGTTTACCTACATTGTGTCGTTCTCACAATGACCCTAAGAAGTAGGTAGCATTAGCCACATTTTATTTGAGAAAACCTAAGTTAGGAAATTTGCTTAACATCCCACAACTAGCCGTGTGGCAGTGCTGGGGTTAAATCCAGGCCTGTGGGCTCAAAGTCGTGCTCTTCACCAATGCACAACATACTCTGTGAAAAGAGCTGGTCCATTACATGTAAGCTATGACGTGGTAGGTCTCTCGGATAGAGTCATCTACTCCACTCACAGCCAAGTGGATGGGCTCTGGAGTCAGATGGCCCCAGGCCATTTCCCTGGCCACTAGTTGGACCGTCCCACTTAAACAGAGTATCTGTTGACTCTAGTTAACACGATGTCTCCTGGGATCCCTGCACTTCAAGTCCTGTTCTAAGTATTAAGAGGGGAAACAAAGGAAGAATAATGTATTCATTCAGCATACAGTCACTGAGCATCTATCATCTAACAGACCCAGTTCTCGGTACTGGGAACACAGCAATGTTCCCATTTATTTTTTATGCAAGCTCAACTCTGAACATGGGGCTCGAACTCACGACCCTGAGGTGGAGAGTCACATGCTCCACCGACTGAGCCAGCCGGGCGCCGTCCCAGCAATGTTTCCATTTGATGGGCAAGTGCAGGACAGATACAAATCTTTTCCAATTAACCGAGAAAAAGGAAAAAACAAAACAAAACCATACATACAACTAGAATCACTTCCCAAATTTCTGAGTAATTTAGGAGGTCTGCTGTTTAAGGGAAGAGGAGCAAGGCCTCCGACACACACCTTTTCTGTTAGGGTGACTAGCATGCTGCTCCATCTGAACAGGTGTGGCGCCTGGGGAAGAATCATAGCGTTACATGATCAACAACCCATGCTATTATGTTACTATTGACGGCACGTCTCCGGCTGTTCCAGTTTGGGGAGGGAAAAGTGTGAAAAATGTATGGTTCCATTTCACAGCCAAACATAAGCGCTTGAGTTACAGGTCCCTTCAGTAGTGTGGAAATCAGTTCTATTATTATCACTGCTTCCTTTTTTTTTTTTTTTTTTTTCTGGACAAAATACTAATTTAACCAAACCCAGACCTTAAAAGAGTCCCGCACTAACGGGCGACTCCTGTCTGCGTCCTCTCCACGGTCTCCTTCGGCAGCATCAGCCTCTATCCTGTCCTAGGAGGCAGGTTGGAAACCTGACTCCCATCACGTCTAAAGGGCCACCGTGGCCTAGACGGAGGGCGGGGACAGAAGTCGCAAGGCTCCACGGGGAACACCTGGGACCACGCTTTGGGTGGGAGACCCGGAAGCCGCAGCCTGCCTCAGCAGAAAGCACCTGCGTGAGAAGGGAGAGGGCACGCTCGGCCAGGAGCCCAGGGGCAGCTAAGCACGACTCGCAGTGCGCCCCAAGGAGGGCTCGGCCAGCCGGCCAGCTCCTGGGACCAAGCTCCCGAGTCGGCCCGCGCCGCTATTCCTCCCGCAGCTCAGGCTGGAAAGGGTGGAGACGGTCACGCTTCTCCTGACCTTCGCGGCCCCAGAAGACCGGAGGCGCCGGCCAGCTCAGCGACCTCACCCTCTGTTTCTCGAACGCCTCCTGCCCGGCACCCACCCGTGTAGTTGATACACATGCGCAGTGGCGCGCCGGCCAACCGCCCCAGCCTCCGCGCTTGCGCCGACGTGCGCGCCGCACGCGGCCGGGAGCGGCCTCTTTACTGCGCAAGCGCCGGCGCCCTCCCATTTCCAACATCGCGCGCTCTCTATCTAGCTTGCCCTGCCGTTCCTGCGTAGGGAGCGGGGCTAAGAATGTCGATTGGCCAGTTTTGGTGCCGGTCACTGAGCTGGGTGCGGTGATTGGCGGCGACCCGGAGGGTAGCGGGTTGAGGTGTAAGCCCTGAGGAGGCAGCGTTTGCTGGGCTTCTCTCTGGTTCTCTCTCTCCAGAAGGTTCTGCCGGTTCCCGCAGCTGTGGGTGCCCGGCTCCGCATCGCGCCGCCATGATGGGCCATCGTCCGGTGCTCGTGCTCAGTGAGTTGGGGGGAAGCCGAGGCAGGGGCCCCCTTTTCGCCCCTTCCCTCCACACTTGGCCGTGTTGCCCCAGCCCAGCCCCGTCCTGGTCGGCCGCGGAGGCTTCCAGCCCTCGTCCCTTTCGAAAGCCCCTTCTGCCTCTTTTCTCTGTGCGCCTGAGCCCTTCCCTGGCCCCCGGCCGAGCCCCTGGTGTGCTGGGACGCGGCGCCGCCCTGCCCCCTCCTCGCGTGGCTTCAGGGTGCGGAGGAGCAGTTTTTCCGTTTGGCCGGTCGCGGAGCGGTGTGTCCTCGGCCGACGGGGTGGATCGTGGCGCTTCCGTCTTTAGTACCGGGGTTGACAGTGTTCCCCGGAGGATTGGGAGGGTTCAGTGGCCCAAGTAGGTAAGCTGCTGAGACGGGGGCCTGGCGGACAGCCAGTGGGGTGGTCCTTGGTCGCTTTTCAGAAGCAGCCCTCCAGGATTTCCCTTGAGCGACCCCGGTTGGTGAAGCAGCCCCGTTCCCTCGCTGGCCTGGCTTAGATGCAGCGAGCCCCTCCGTGTCCCCCGCGTGGTGGTGTTTCCCACGGAGTTGCCCCTGGTTTCTGGCTAAGGAGTACCACCTCCCTTGTCCTCCCTTGGCTTGTTTCCGTTTTAACTTCTGGACCCCATGTGCGAGCCCGCCCTGGGCGCCTTTCTCCCTCCCTTACCATTTTCTGTATACGAAATGCAGTAAAGCGATTTGATCCATTTTCTTCATACCTGGGAAATAACTATTACCAAAAAAAAAAAAAAAAAAAAAAAAAAAACCACAAAACCACTTAAGGGAGAAAAGGCGCCGTTCCTTCTGATGAGTGTGTCAGAACAGCCGGTGCAGGATTTGAGTTAACCACTGCCCGACACAGGAATCTAAATTCCGAGGGTTGTGAGTGTAGACTTGGTGGGACTGCATTGAAAAGTTTGCCGATTTAAATTGTACGGAGTGTGTGATTCAGAGAGAGGAGCGGAATAAGCCTCGTGTCGGTTTGGTTATAGCCACTGGCTGGTCTCACCGAGAGGCCCCCAGGGGTGAGCTGTGCACTGTGAAACCCTTTTTAGGTCTGCATTAATCCCTGGCACTGGTTGGATGTAACCCATTAGGCCGCGTGTTAAAATACGTGGTCGGCTCTGACTGAGCATTGTTATGATGTCCAAGCATGGAGTGACCGTATCTGGAGAACGGAGACCCTCCGAGAGGATATTCTCACTGCACGGCACGCTGTGGGGGCGCTGGCAGTAATTCCGCTGGGACTGCCTCCTGTGATTCCCCCTGTCTGAGTAGGAAAATAGGAGCCCAGACTCCCTCCTGGGATATTTTTTTTTGAGGGTCACCAGCCCTCTGAGCATCTGTAGATCCTCTTTCCAGACAGAACTGCAGTATCTCCCATTTTCTCGTATAATCTCTGCGAGTTCACCGTTCCACCGAGGCCCATTCATGGATCTCAGGTTATGGGTCCTTGCTGTAAATAGGTGAATGTTTGATTAGTGGGAAAGTGATGACCAGGGATCGTCATGGGTCGTATGTGTATCAAGTTGACGTAAAGAAATAGCTGAAAGTACATGTACTTTTTTGTGTTAACAGTTTTTTAAGGCATATTGGTATATAATAAGCTACACATATTTGGAGTGTACAATTTGATGAGGTTTGAAGGTATGTTACCTCTGTGAGGTGTGTGTGTGTGTGTGTGTGTGTGT